TCCCGAATGGCATGACCTTAAACTGGTACAGGCCAAATGGGGTGACAAACGCTGACTTGGGGATGGCGTCCTCAGCTAGTGGGATTTGCCAGTACCCTTTACAAAAAATCTATTGTGGTGAGGTACTGGCCCCTGGCCATTTTGTCTAGGAGCTCGTCTATCCGGGGAATAGGGTAAGCGTCGGACGTCGTTTTGTAGTTGAGCCTCCGGTAGTCTACACAGAAACAGGTCATCCCGTTTCGGCACTAGCACTACCGGGGAGGCCCTTACGCATGTTCTCCTTTACGGATTCTGGTATGCGGTAAGGAGGTTGGCGAAGCGGGGTCTGTTCTAGGGTTTCTACCTTGTGAGTGGCCAATGGGGTGTACCCGGGAAGATTGTACCTGATTAAGCTTTGGACTTGGGTTCGCTCCTGGGGACTTAAACGCTCCCCTAACTGCCTTCTTGGTCTGGGAGAGGTAGATTATCAAAGTCCTCGGTAGCTGGCGCGCAGATTGCGGTTACCTCTTCGGTACACTCATGGTATGGCTTGAGCATATTCACATGGAGCATGCGTTTGCCCGCCTGCGGCCGGACCGATCACATATCTGTTCTACCACCTTGTATGGGCCCTGCCAGGAAGCCCGCAGCCTGTCTTTGTGGACTGGTCGTAAGATTAGTACTTTTTGCCCAACCTGAAAGCTGCGGTCCCTGGCTCCCTTATCATACCATCTGCACTGTCGTCATTGGGCCACCTGGAGGTTGTCGTGCACGGTCTGTGTCAGAGCCTCCAAGCATTCCCTAAACTCCAGTACATAGGGTACGATAGGTGTGCCATTAATGGTCCCTTCTCCCTCCCAGTGTTCTCGGATTAAATCAAGGGGGCCCCACACTCTCCTCCCGAATAGTAGTTCAAAAGGAGAGAACCCGGTGGACTCTTGGGGTACTTCCCTATAGGCAAAACGTAAATGGGGAGAAACCTTTCCCAGTCCTTCTGGGTGTCTATGAACGTACGGATCATCTGTTTGAGTGTTACGTTAAATCGTTCGCAGAGACCATTGGACTGGGGGTGATAGGCGGAGTTCAAGATCTGTATATCTTCCAGAGCTGGTATGTGACTTCGGCGGTGAATTGAGTGCCCCTATCCGAAATAATCTCCCGGGGAAATCCCACGCGGGAGAATATCTGCATCAGGGCATCTGCCACTGTTTTACGCGTGCACATTAGTTAAGGCTACCACCTCCAGATATCTGGTGGTATAATCCACCACAGTCAAGACATATTTCTTGCTGGAGGGACTTGGTTTCGCTAGGGGTCCTATTATATCCACCGCCACCCTACTGAAGGGTTCCTCAATTATGGGTAGGGAACAGAGCCGAGCTTTGTATCGGTCTCCCCTCTTCCCTACCCTCTGACAGGTATCACAGGTCTGACAATATTGCCTAACATCCTGCGAGATACCTGGCCAGAAGTAGTTCTGGGTCAGCCTGTGCTTAGTGCGGCTGATTCCTAAGTGCCCGGACAGGGGAATATCATGGGCGACGCGCAACAATTCTAGTCTGCATTTCCAAGGCACAATTAGCTGCTTAATGGATAGAGGTATAGATCCAGCTACTACCTTCTCTGCGTGGCGGCGCAGTAGCCCCTTGTCCCAGGTGTACCTTTCCCCTTCTAGCCCTGCCTGGTCTTTGTCTATGCAGTCTTTATATATCTAGGGCCACTTCTGAACCAAATTCTACGGGGGGTCGCCCAGGGCAGGACAGAGGGCATGGAATCTTCATTGCTTACCTAAGCCTCAGAGTAACCAAGATGGAGCTGTGGTGCGGGCCTGCTGCCGGGTCACAACCGGGTACGCTTCCTGAATGTTGGGTTGGGGAACAAAAGCTGAAGTCAGCTCCCCCAGGTCATTGGCAGGATGGTTGAGGACACAGCTGGTAATGGTGTTGTAGGTGCATAGACCGGTCGGTGTTGGGTGTGCTGGTATCCTGGAACTCATCTGCCAGCTTGGCTGCCTCTTGCAGCGTGCGTGGTTTTCGGTCCCGTCGAAGAACTGATCCCGTCGAAGAACTGCTCCAAACCATTAGCTGGAACAGGTCCTCCAGAGTGTTAACTTGGGTGGCTTCCATCCACCCTTTTGCGGCTCGCTGCAGGCGGTGTGCCCACTATATGTGTCTGTCTTTATTCGGTTTCTTGATGTCACAAAATTTTAGCCGGTATGCCTCTGAGGTAATCTCATACCTGGCTAAAATTGCTTGTTTCACTTTACCATAGTCTCTACTGTCCTCATCTGGCACGGCCCGGTACGCCTCCGCTGCGCATCCGGATAGTCTCCCCGCTAGTAGAGGCACCCGATCCGCCGCGCTGAAGTCGTGTAGTTGGCACAACCTCTCAAAATCTTGCAGGCAGTCATCTAAGTCGCCGTCAGCTTCTGTATAGCTCTTAAATGCTTGATAGGGGATTTTGGCTTTCCCCGGGGTAATGCTGACCGGCATTGTGGCGCTTTCTCCAGCTCGCTGATTTGCTTGGAGTCGGACCAGCAGGTACTCCTGTACGTCCGCCATCAGTCGGAACAGTATCTCCATGGGCATAAAAGGCAGTATATCCTCTGGATAAAAGGCTAGCCTGCTCCTCATCTACTTGTCAAATTCGCTGGGGTCTATTTCCCGTGGAGCTGCTGCAGTGGTTTCTCTGTCTCCCTCCATGAGTTCTGCCACAAGGGTCGCTTTGGTTTTATTGCTGGCGCTTTTTCCCCTTGCTTCCAATAACTCTTTCAGCGTAGTCCGTTTCAATGTTGCATAATTCGACTCCATTCACCAGTTGTTCGTATATTTTGACATATTTACCGAACACTGGTTTTATCCGAATGGTTTGTTCCGTCGAACTGCTGGTTTGCTGTGTGTTTGAAATCCCGTCGCTTGCCACCAATTGTAGCGGAGAGGTAGTATCATCCACCATATCTCTGCTGGTAGACAGGAACAGCATAGAATAATCCAGGTAAAATAAGTGTAGAATACAATAATCCCGGTAGCGTTGTATAAATCCTTCCTTCCCAAGAACTAGACGACACATAGGCTGGGAGTCAACTGAGGTTTTAATCGCAGGTTACAGTATTTATGTGGTTCCCCATGCAAGGAGTTTCCCTACTGACTTTACAGGGGTTGTACAGTAGGGTACTACATGGGGAACATAACAACCAAGATATTTCTCCCACCATTCACCGCTGTACGAGAGGGATACTCCCACTAAAATATCCAGTTTCGTGGATTATCCCTCCGTGCAGCAGAACTGTCGTTTTTCATAAAAATTTATAATTTTAACATTAGTCATGATATTATACCGAATGACCGTTCGGCAGATAGCTGGGGTCTGAGCGCATACTTCGTGAAAGTACAGCTCAGATCCCAGCACAATTAGCCGAACGCCACACGAAATACACTTAAACATACATTTTTCAACAAAGGCACGAATAGACCAGTAGGAATAAAATACAGAAAGACCGGTGCTCCCGCACGGCCTGGAAGTCTAGCGGTATTCGTGCCGTCGAGCAGCCGATTTTAGTTCCAGGCACTCGACGACAAAATACTGCTGGGCTAACAAAGGATCCAAGATGGCCGACCGCCGTGTGGTCGGTATCCGAACGGAGGCCACCCTGAACATCTATTAACTACCGAAAGATACAATGTTGCAATACTTAATGGGAGCCACACGACCATTCAGTAGTTTGTTTCTTTCATGAACAGTGTTGAAATTTACTGTTCGTGAAACTACTGTATGAATGCTGGTGGCTTTCATGTCGTCAGCATACGAATGCTCTCGTTCGCATCAAATACAGACAATATACAGATAGCCTTAAAGCAACAACATCACATTAATGGAAATACAGTCTTAAGTGGCTAGTTTTGCCACAATCAGTCAGTATATCAGTCAGTGTAACGGACCGTTTTGCACACAAGGGGTAAAAACCATTTAGGCGATCGTCCCCCTTTCCAGAGATGCAGGCACAGACAATCAGCCAAACAGGACACACAGTCACACTATATTCCCACAATGCATCCTGGTTTCCTCCCCTCTGCCCTGGAGATAATTGAGAAGTAATTCAATTATCTCCCAAGACAAATCGCCATTATACACGTGGGGATACTAACACAGGAATTACTATTAAAATGCACAATATGAGACACATAACATTAAAAGCATACATTTAACATATCCCCAGATAGCTCAGGTCTGAACGCACATTATTAAGCGAATGGCGCTTAGACCACACGAATACAGTTTAATCGCCATGGAGCCAAAGTCTTTACACAGTCAGTTTCATGCGAATGGGCTCCATGGGATTCCTATCTGTGGTATAACATAGTCAAGTCAAACCACCGAACAGGAAGGGAGGTCGGCGGCTTCAGCGGTGTTCGCGCAAAACTGTGTCCAATTTTAGTTCCACGAATTAAGTGTCGAAAACCGCTGTGCGTTCGTATGTTTTAAAATGGCCGCGACCTCGTGTTCGTTATACGAATGGTGGCCACCCAGCATTCGTCAATTAAGTTGCGGTTAACCGCAGCTTCAGGGAGGCTAATTGCCGGCACACTCCAGCTCCCAGGTGGTCCGGTCATTCGTGCGGTTGTTCGGTAGATTGAATCTACCGAACACCAGGCAGAAAGGCACGGATAAGTCTTTTCTGCAGGGAAAAAAGATGTCTTAACATGGGGCCATAGTCCGAAGGCAACAGGCGAGCAACCAGGCTTCTCCAATGCAATGTGGCGAGATTGCTCTCGTCACAGTCAGTATATCAGTCAGTCTGTATATCAGTCAGTCAGTATAACAGTCAGTCAGTCAGTATATCAGTCAGTCTGTCAGTCAGTCAGTATATCAGTCAGTCAGTCAGTATGTCAGTCAGTCAGTCTATCAGTCAGTCAGTCAGTATGTCAGTCAGTCAGTATGTCAGTCAGTCAGTATGTCAGTCAGTCAGTATATCAGTCAGTCTGTATATCAGTCAGTCAGTCAGTATATCAGTCTGTATATCAGTCAGTATATCAGTCAGTATATCAGTCAGTCAGTCAGTATATCAGTCAGTCAGTCAGTATATCAATCAGTAAGTATATCAGTCAGTCAGTCAGTCAGTAAGTATATCAGTCAGTCAGTCAGTATATCAGTCAGTCAGTCAGTATATCAGTCAGTCAGTATATCAATCAGTAAGTATATCAGTCAGTCAGTCAGTATATCAGTCAGTCTGTGTGACGGACCCGCTGGCACTCCGACCGAGTACCTCTGCCAATCGATGCTCCTAGTGCTTGCCGACACCATCAGCACTGCAGACTTATCCCATCCCCCAAGCATGAGCCAAGGCTTCAAGAAAGGGTCAAGCAGGTCTGTTTTAATGAGCACACAAAGCAACAGCACTCACGCAGCAAAAAAAACTCCTCAGAAGAAAACAAACTGACAGCGTTTGAAAATATGACAGTTAAGGGTTTTTAAACTGGTGTTCTAGGAGGGAGGGGAATAAAACAGTCAAACTAAGTCCATAAAACAGTTTTTTTTTTTCCACACTCTGCATCCGAAGTGCATAGCAAAACTGCAGATCCTTTGTCAGAGCATTTAAAGGGCCAGAACCAGTCTAATAAAATCCACTATGCTCAAATAACATACAGTTCAAATACAGGCAATAATCAATGCAAAAGTCTCTTGTGGCTGCTTCTGCCACAATGCTCCCCCAGAACCAAGCCGGCATACACAGTCTGATCCCAACGGATCTTCTTGGGGATGTCCGGAGGAGTGCTCACAGATCATTTCTCGAGTTCTGTCTGTCTGGACAACCCGTTGGCGTTACCATTTTGTTTCCCTGGGCGATACTGGATGGTGAAATCAAATGGTTGTAGTGCCAAGCTCCATCTCAGTAGTCTAGCGTTGTCGCCTGACACCCGGTTTAGCCACACCAACGGGTTGTGATCTGTGAGCAAGGCAAATTGTTGTCCATATAAGTAGGGCTGTAGTTTCTTGAGGGCCCACACCACCGCCAGGCATTCCTTTTCGATGGCGGCATAGCTTACTTCCCTGGGTCGTAGTTTCCGACTTAAGTAAGCGACTGGATGCTCGCCGCCATCGGCCCCAACTTGGCTCAGCACTGCTCCCAATCCAAACATAGAAGCATCTGTATGAACAAGAAAGCGTTTAGTTGGATCGGGAGCGGCCAGTACAGGGGCATGAATTAGGGCAGTTTTCAGTTCTTGGAATGCCTTCTCACACTGTGGGCTCCAGGTCACTACTTTGGGTAAGTTCTTTTTGGTGAGGTCAGTAAGGGGCTTGGCACTATAATTAGGTACAAATTTACGGTTATACCCGGCGGTCCCTAGAAAAGCTAAAACCTGAGTTTTCTTGCAAGGGGTTGGCCACTTAGCTACGGCCTCTATCTTAGCGGGTTCTGGCTTTTGCTGCCCACCCTGTGGCCTAAGTACTGCACTTCGGCCATCCCTACATGGCACTTGCTGGGTTTTAACGTGAGACCTGCCTCCCTAATGCGGTCGAGGATGGCTCCTATATGGGTCAAGTGCTCGTCCCAGGAGTTGCTAAATATTGCTATGTCATCTAAATAGGCGCAAGCATACTCCTGGGATCCGTCCAGTAACCGGTCCACCATCCGCTGAAATGTAGCCGGCGCATTCTTCATCCCGAATGGCATCACCTTGAATTGGTATAGCCCAAACGGGGTGACGAATGCGGACTTTGGGATGGCATCCTCGGCTAGTGGGATCTGCCAGTACCCTATTGTGGTGAGGTACTGGCCCCTGGCCATTTTATCTAAGAGCTCATCGATTCGGGGCATGGGATAGGCATCTGAAATTGTTTTATCATTAAGTTTCCGGTAGTCGACGCAGAAGCGGGTGGTTCCGTCCCGCTTCGGTACCAGCACTACCGGAGAGGCCCATGGGCTGAGTGTTCTATCACCCCTAGTTGTAACATTTCGTCAATCTCCTTCCGCATATGATCTTTTACGGATTCGGGTATGCGGTAGGGAGTTTGTCGAAGAGGGTGTTGCCCTGGGGTTTCTACCCTGTGGGTAGCCAGCAGGGTATACCCGGGCTGGTTGGAGAATGTATCCCCTTTTTCCCGGATCAGCTCTAGTATTTGAGCTCGCTCTCTAGTGCTCAACCTGTCTCCTAGCTGTACTTCCCCTAATTCGGTGTTGGCCCCCCCTTGGGCTAATAGGTCTGGTAAGGGTAGATTATCCGGGTCCTCGGCGACCGAGGCACATATGGCAGTTACTTCTTCGGTCCGCTCGTGATAGGGTTTCAGCATGTTAACGTGGAGCATGCGTCTACCGCCTGCTCCTGTACATAGGGCAATTATATAGGTGGTGTCACATACCTGTTCCACCACCTTATAAGGGCCCTGCCAGGAGGCCTGCAGTTTGTCATTTTGGACTGGCTTCAAGATTAACACCTTTTGTCCTATTTGAAAACTGCGGTCTCTGGCTCCCCTATCGTACCATCTGCGCTGTCGTTGCTGGGCCGCCTGGAGATTAGACTGTACCGTCTGGATTAGGGTCTCCAAGCGTTCCCTGAACTCTAGTACATATGGGACAATAGGGGTACCGTTACTGGTGACTGTTCCCTCCCAGTGTTCCCTAATGAGGTCTAAGGGACCCCGCACTCTCCTTCCGAATAGTAATTCAAATGGTGAGAACCCTGTGGACTCCTGGGGTACCTCTCGGTACGCGAAGAGCAGATGGGGAAGAAACCTTTCCCAGTCCTTCTGGGTATCCATGAAGGTACGGAGCATTTGCTTTAAGGTTCCGTTGAACCGTTCACAGAGCCCATTGGACTGGGGGTGATACGCTGAGTTTACAATAGGTTTCACCCCACATGTTCTCCATAACTGATGAGTGACTTTGGCTGTGAATTGGGTACCCCGATCTGAGATCTCTTTGGGGAACCCCATTCTGGAGAATATCCGGATTAGGGCATCTACTATAGTCTCCGCATGGATATTAGTTAGGGCTACGGCCTCTGGGTACCGGGTGGCATAGTCTACTACGGTTAGTATATACTTCTTCCCTGATGGGCTGGGTTTTGCTAGGGGTCCGATTATATCTACTGCCACTCTACTGAAGGGTTCATCTATTATGGGTAGGGAGTGCATTTTTGCCTTGTACCGGTCCCCTCTCTTCCCTACTCTCTGGCATGTGTCACAAGTTTGGCAATACTGCCGAATATCTTTGGAGACCCCTGGCCAAAAGAAGTTTGGGGTCAAACGATGCTTCGTCCTACTGACGCCTAGATGTCCTGATAAAGGGATGTCATGGGCAATACGTAGTAATTCTTGCCTGTACTTTCGGGGCACGACTAATTGTGTGAGGGTCATGGGTACAGATCCTGCTACTACCTTCTCAGCATATCTATACAATAATCCTTTCTCCCAAGCGTATCTTTCCCCCTCCAACCCTGCCTGATTCTGTGTAACCCTATCCCGGTATACCTGCAGGGACGGGTCGGTGACTACTTCAGTACCAAATTCTAAGGGGGGAGCCCAGGGGATGAAAGGTGGGTCAGTACTGTTACTTACCGGAGCCTCAGAGTGTTCAGAAGATGCGGTGGTGCAGGCCTGCTGCCGTGTTACCACGGGTAGCGCTTCCTGCGCGGGGTGCTGAGAAACAAAAGCGGAGGTCAGCTCCCCCAAGTCGTTACCCAGGATGACATCAGCTGGTAAGTCCTGCATGAGGCCCACTTCCACATTCCCCGACCCCGCTCCCCAATCCAAATGTACTTTAGCAGTGGGAATTTTGTAAATCGCTCCCCCTGCCACCCGGACTGCCACATATTCTCCAGTGAGCTGGTGCTTGGGGACTAGGTGATTGCGAACCAGGGTTATGGTGGCCCCAGAATCGCGCAGACCCTGAAGGTGTTTTCCCTCTACGTGTACCCCTTGGCGGTGTCCCTGTCGGTTGTCTGCAGCTGCTTGTACTGGGTTAACCTCGTGGAGGGTGCCCAAAGATTCTTCATTAGACCAGGTCCCGAAGAAAGGTTGTCGAGGCTCACTCTGGTAGCAGTGTACTGCTGCCCGGTTTGCAGGGGAATTAGTTGGAGTATTCCACGTGGAGCGGTTTCTGTTTCTGGGACAGTCTCTCTGCATGTGGCCCTGCTGGTTACACGTGTGGCACCTGATGAAAGATCGGGCATTGTTGTACCGTGGAGGGGTTTGGTAGTTCCCACCACCCGGACGCAGTGCTGGGGTGGGGTTAATGGTTGGAGGTGGGTTAGCAGCTCCCAAGATGGACCGTGCCTGTGCCCGCTGTGCCCTCCTGGCATCTTGGTACTCGTCTGCCCACCTGGCAGCATCAGTTAAGATGCGCGCTTTCCGATCCCTCAGCCAGTTTTGTAAATCCGAGGGTTAACCTCTGGAAGAATTGCTCCAGTAGCAGTAATTGTAGCATGCCCTCCACTGTGGTTGCTTGTGCAGCTTGCACCAAACCTTTGCCCGCCCTAGTTAAGCGGTGTGCCCACTCCATGTATCTTTCTCCGTCTTTCGGCTTTCTTGGAACCGCTGCCGGTATGTCTCTGGGGTAATTGCATACCTGTCCAGGATCGCCTGCTTTACTTTCTGGTAGTCTCTGCTATCCTCGTCTGGCATGGTGCAGTAGGCTTCTGCTGCCCGGCCCGCTAGCTTACCCACCAACAGGGGTACCTGGTCGGCGGCGTTGATCTCATGTAATTGGCATAACCTCTCAAAGTCATGCAAGTAGCCATCGATGTCTTCGGTCTCCACATAGTTTTTAAAAGCATGGTACGGGATTTTAGGCTTCCCCGGTACTATGTGTGGTGTGATTAGGGACCCCTCTCTGGACCTCCGGTCTGCCCGCTGCTTTTCCATTATGTATTCGTGGACATCTGACATAATCCTTTCCAAGGTTTCTGTGGGAGGCGTACCTGGGAAAAAGGCCTGTCTGCTTTGGAGTTCTCTTCCAAACTCATTCTGTGTGCTGTCCATAAGAGGTGCTGCAGCAGCTGCCCAGTCTCCCTCCATGAGTTCAGCAATAAGGGTAGCTTTGGTTTTATTGCTGGCAATAATTCCCCTTGCTCCAGTAGTTCTTTTAGCGTGGCCTGTTTCAAGTTGGTATAGTCTGTCCCCATTCACTATCCGTTCGGGTATATTCACATACCCTTTCCTTTCGGTTCCATACAAAATAGCAAATTTCCCAAATGGCTGTAACTGCCGAACAACGGTCTGCTGTGAGGTTTGAATCCCGTCGCTGCCACCAATTGTGATGGACCCGCTGGCACTCCGACCGAGTACCTCCGCCAATCGATGCTCCTAGTGCTTGCCGAGGACTTCAAGCACTCCAACCGACACCATCAGCACTGCAGACTTATCCCATCCTCCAAGCATGAGCCAAGGCTTCAAGAAAGGGTCAAACAGGTCTGTTTTAATGAGCACACAAAGCCACAGCACTCACGCAGCAAAAAAAAACTCCTCAGAAGAAGAAAATATGACAGTTAAGGGTTTTTAAACTGGTGTTCTAGGAGGGAGGGGAATAAAACAGTCAAACTAAGTCCATAAAACAGGTTTTTTTTCCTTCACACTCTGCATCCGAAGTGCATAGCAAAACTGCAGATCCTTTGTCAGAGCATTTAAAGGGCCAGAACCAGTCTATCAGTCAGTCAGTCTGTATATCAGTCAGTCAGTCAGTATATCAATCAGTCAGTCAGTCAGTCAGTCAGTATATCAGTCAGTCTGTATATCTGTCAGTCAGTCAGTCTGTATATCAGTCAGTCAGTCTGTATATCAGTCAGTCAGTCTGTCAGTCAGTCAGTGTCAGTCAGTCAGTATATCAGTCAGTCAGTCTGTATATCAGTCAGTATCAGTCAGTGTCAGTCAGTCAGTCAGTATATCAGTCAGTCAGTCAGTCAGTATCAGTCAGTCAGTCAGTCTGTATATCAGTCAGTCAGTCAGTCAGTCAGTATATCAGTCAGTCAGTCAGTCAGTCAGTCTCAGTCAGTCTATCAGTCAGTCAGTCAGTCAGTCAGTCAGTATATCAGTCAGTCAGTCAGTCAGTCAGTCAGTCAGTCTATCAGTCAGTCAGTCAGTATATCAGTCAGTCAGTCAGTCTATCAGTCAGTCAGTCTATCAGTCAGTCAGTCAGTCTATCAGTCAGTCAGTCAGTATATCAATCAGTCAGTCAGTATATCAGTCAGTCAGTCAGTATATCAGTCAGTCAGTCAGTCTATCAGTCAGTCAGTCAGTCAGTCAGTCAGTCTATCAGTCAGTCAGTCAATCAGTCAGTCAGTCAGTATATCAGTCAGTCAGTCAGT